TCCAGCTCCTGCTTCTTCTTTTCTATCTTGGCATCCAGACTGGTCTCATCAGAAACAACATTATTCAGCATGTCTTTGGTCTTCTCCACACTTTCCTTTATAATGAATATAAAAACATGGGAGCAGATTCGGTGTAATTTTATAGTTTAAACACAAGTTCTGTGTGAATTTTAATAACAAGAACAGTCAGAATAAGCACCTACCAAAACCTCCTTGACGGCAACTCTCAGTGCCTTTTCAGTCTCATTAATCTCCAGAGGTCTGGCAATGGCTGCAGTTCTCATTTCCTGTACGGATATTGAAAACAAAGACAGCAGGGTAAACCCTAACTAACTGAATCACTGTCACTGATGTGTTTTCAAATGGACTGGACTGCATTTGTATAACTATTTTCATCAGAGAGCAGAAGGTTTGGTTCAATGCAGCAAGACAAAGCTACATTATGTTACCAGCCTCACAACACAATAGTTTAGGGTTAAAAAGTTACTTGACTGAAAATGGCAGTTTTATGTCAGATTAAATGCAGTTTTGTAAAGAAAATACCAAAAATAAAGAGGAGAGATTTTCTTCAACATTAGTAAATTTAAAATGTTTGAACATAATTGCCAAAATATTACTAGGTTTTATAAAGTCATTCTTAAAAATCTTTTACCTCATTGTATAAAATCTGCCCTCTAAACAGTAAAGCATTATATCCCATCTGTGTCTAAAGTGTGAAAAGAAACTCTGTGAAAATTGATTTCTAGAGTCATCTTTCCCAAAAATGTATCCATTGTATTAAGGACTCAGGAAGAAGGGAAATGGAAACCAGTATGTGTGACTGTGTTTTCCCTCACCCTTAGGTCCACCTCTTTTCCCAGTAAATCATACAGAGATGCACCTTTCGATGTGACCTCAGATGCCAGCTGCCGAGCTACTTTAAGATCTGAAATCTAAAGTGAAGACAAGAGGAGGCTTAATCAGCATCACACAGATTTCCCTTTTGTCTAAAATCTAACATATGAGGTAAATTTAAAAATAAAAGAAAAAACATAGCAAAGAGGAAAGCTTTGAATGGCTAATCATACATCAAAGTTTTGAAACTATACAGAGGTAAAAGGACCAAGACATTAAATTATCTGATGATTAATCAAACATTGTAATCTTGACATGGCTGTGAGTCAGACTCCAAATCCAATCTTTTTGCCCAAATGTGACCCATATCCGATTTCCTTATGACAGTGTGAACAGCACAAATCCGAATTTTTCAAATCAGGCCCAGGCCACTTTCATATGTGGTCCTAAATCGGATACATATCCGATGTTTTGCAATGCAACTTCAGTCTCAATGGCCATGTCGCATTTCATGCAATTTTTATGTCATTGAAATGCGACAGACGTCAAAAAATCCAATCTGAGCATTAAGACCTGCAGTGTGAATGTAGAATATGGTAACATAGACATAATAGCATAATAGCTCACCCGTGAGCCAAGGTCAAACTTGAACTTGTTGTTGTTCTCCTCAACTCGATCTCCCAGGCCTATCTGCTTGGTCTTCATAGCACTGTACAGCATTGAGGTAATCTTTAGCATCTCTTTCACTGCATAGCCATCAGCCTGGTAGAGACGCTTGGTGTTCAGCTTGATGTGAGCCTTTGTTGCCTGCAACAAGATGAGGCAGTGATTTAAACAGACAAATATCAGGCCTTCAACAACCACAAATAAACTGTATAGTGCATATCATCATAATATATATATACGTCACCATGAACTCAGCCATAGCCTTGATGAAGAATATTCTGTCTGACTCTGTATCTACATCAGTGGGAATGTCCATGTGAGGCTCATATCTACATATAATGGGGAAAGAAGCAAAACGCAAAGAGCAAAGTAGAACACAGAAGACTCCACTATCCAGTCCAGAGAACAGGCAGAAAACAAAGCATTGAGCAAAAGCAGATAACATGTTGAGGTTTGTTTACAAAGAGAGTAAATGAATTGACTACTCTGAACCAAAAAGTGACTGTTTCCCCTGCCTGGGAACTTCTACATATTACAAAGACCAAATTTTAATTTATTTTATACAAAAAGGGTGTGCAGAAGACGAACAAAGATTGTTCAGAGTTTAATTCTTGATGTATCAGTAGGTGATTTAAAAATTCCATCCAAATGAAACTGCCAAAGACTTTTGGATATATGTTTTATATTTTAAAACTGAAGAATGTGGAATATGTGACGCTCGTGCATACCTCTTTACAAGCCATATTAGGATTTCTGCCACTAAAGTGAAGTTTGGTGTTCTGAAGTTCTCCATAGAAATTAATCTAGGATATCCCAAGGCCCTCATCATTTCTGTGAAATCTGCCATAGGAGATGCATCATTAAATCACCAACTTTAAGTTAAGCAATACAATGTTTATTTCATACAGCAGGAAACGGAATTGGATCATCACTTACTTCTTAAGTCTCTGAAGGACATTTTGACCTGAGAGCACTGTACAGCAACACGTGCACTAATTCCTCCTGTGATAGATAAAGAAAGAGAGATTTAACGTAATTCACTTGCAACAGCAACTGAATGCGCACATCAACTGATTTGAAGAGCATGTCTAAGATAACCAAACTGACCACACTGTAAAGTCCTCTGAGACAAATTTGATGATGTTGGGCTTTATGAATACAGTTAACCTAGCTAAACTATAATGTTAGCGATAACTAGCTACATTAAATATTGCCCATCCATCACATCGGGCTAAGGTTTAACTTCCATCACCATTTTAGTATGGCAGAAGCTAAAAAAAAGAACGTTAATAGCATTATTAGTGACTTCTCAGTAATTGGGATATCTTAGGTTTGACCAGAAATCGAGTGTGTGAAGGTAACGTGAATTGAACGTTAACTAAAGATTTGCCATTACCGTTACATAGCCCTGCTGTAGCCTGAAGCTAGCTGGAAATGAGCAAAAAGCTAACGCTTGGTGTCGCCAGTAGTTAACGCAGGTAAACCTGTAGCAAGAGATAATTTTTCTGAAGCACTTCATTAGTTTGTCATTAAACATAGCATACTGTGTTGACAGGTCTAACAGTGGCCTATTACCTGGCGTTGCTAGATAGATCTGAGCCAGTTAGCAGTTAGCTGTATGTTCGCCTCTATGGTCTCCATAGAAACCAACTTTGTGCTAGGGAAGCTCGACACGGTCAAAAAGACAAGGGTCCATTTAGTGATAATCGCGGCCGTCCGCACTGACAATCCAAAGGGTGTACAAAATTTACAGTGTTTCTGGTGATATTCATAACTGCTGTAGGCAGAATTGTAGGTATCTGGAATGTGCTGTTTTTTTAAATCCGCTATCCCAAAGTGAACAAACATGCACCTATGCAGAAATGGTGAATTGCAGAAATGAATGATTTTAGCATTACCAACACCTCCTTTGAAAAATGTAAATGTCCTTTGTAATTTGAAAGCTATACTCAAAGCTATGTTTGTATTGGACACTGAAGAGTACAAAGGGTTTTTTTTTTTTTTTGAAATTCTTATAGACTAATGTTACGGGTTTAGGTGAATGGTCATGATAATAGGCTACCTACTGTATGAAAGTATTAACAGCTTTTGAATATGGGGAAATTCTAAAAAATTATCGACTGTCTTAATGGGTAACCTTAAAGTTTATTATTTTCTACTTTAGTATAAATTTGAGGTATTTACCTGTTTATTTCCATAAAATCACTTTTAGTGGCCTATATTTAAGAGAGAAATGCACGTTTTATTATATTTTGTAGAGCTATGGATGAAGATTTTACATGCAAACATATAATAATAAAATACAATATACTGATATCAGACAACTAACTGCAAAGCCTTTGAAGCAGGCTACATGATGCTGCTTATAGTTTTGTACTTTCACTAAAGTAACAGTATGCATACAGAATTCTGATGGTAGTATTTTGAAAACTGGTGTTTGCTACTTTTAATTGAGTAAAGAATATGAATATCATTCAGCTTTGGCAAACGACTGTTTAATGGTGCATGGTGCGATATTACGGGCGACCACAGGGCGGCGACACCTCTCAGTCTCTGCCCCAGAAGTCGGTTATATGGGCCGCCGCACTCCTGACGCAGAGAATGATGGAGCAAACTGGCGTTCCCCTTCACAACAACAACCACCCCGATGGAAATGAGCCCCCTGCTTGTGGCCTCTACAGTAAACGCCTGAAAGAGTTGGAGAATGCCGCGCTGCAAACCACTTTAATATCGCGAATGGAGACGGAAACCGGGGCTGACGCCGGAAGCTGGACGGAACAACAGTGCGGGGAGGACGAGCAGCCGAACGGCCTGTCCTTGAACCCTCGACCAGCCCCTTCGCAGCTCTGCGCGGACACCGAGACTGAGGAAGTGGAGTCCGAGAGACACGTATATGAGCGGGTCGAAGAGGAAAGGACCCTGACGGACCATTTAAACAAACGTCTGCTTTCCTCATTTCTGGAGAAGCTTAACGAAAGGGACCTGGCTCTTCCCGGGGTTCAGCGCCTGGACTGTGCTGTAGCCGACGAGGACTCAAACAGGGCCGCAGATGAGTGGTGAGGTCCCCAGCTGCAGAGAAGCAGCGACAGCAACAATATGGAGGTGGTTGAGAGATTCAGGACTATAATTTGTACGGAAGCACAATCAACAACATTAAAGACAGACTTACTATTAGGCCTGCCAAATTATTCTGCAATATGGAGTGTCTGGAAATGTAATGTTTAGTTTTGTGTGGTGATAATGAGTGAAAGAATAAGAAACTGCAATAAATTACCATTATGTCATATAAAGTGCTTTTGTACTTATTGGATATACATATGTACTGTATTTGGCAGCCAAAATGGACGTGCGGTAGCCATGTGTGCACATTTGTATTCTGAAATGACATTCAATCTACTGCAGGTGTCACTTCCCGTCATACTCAAGTAGAAGTGTTATTTTACTAACATAGTGTCAAGAAAGAAATAGTACATTTATATGTAGAAAAGTAGAATTCTCTCAGTTAAGGTGAGTCTCTTCAAGACAGTTTGATATTGAATGACTATTACAGTTTGTTGATGAAGAAAAGAGTATACTAGTCTACTCTGGAGAAATTTTTATCATCTCTTCCATTTAAATGAAAGCCCACATTAAATTCTAATTTGATAATGTAGCTCACTCATGAAAATATAAGCCCACGAACAAGCTGAAGATTCACAGTGAAAATAAAACCTGTTACTCTTTACCCTTTTGCAACACAATTCATAATTTAATTCACTATACTGTATTTTTGGTTATATTGTTAAGAAATAAATGTAACACTTAAACCACATGTAGAAGGAAATAAACTAAACAACATCAATCTCAATGGCAAGTAAATGAGGCAGAAATGATCAAGAAGTATTTGTCAAATGTTGTACTGACTTATATTGACAACCATACAGTATATGTATTCCCCTCTACATATAGGCAATATATTTACAGAACAGGGGCTTGTCTCTGATTAATATGCTTTTAAATTTAGGCCATTTGTTATTTAACCCTTGAAGTTGCAGTCTGCGGCTTTTCTCTGAGACAAAACTGGTTCAGTGATAACGTATTTGGACTGACACTTATCAGTTATCTTGAGCTGTTTACTGTGTAGTCTCACTTTAATGAAAGTGGAATGAAGTGGCTTGCTAGAGAATTACTGTATACATTCTAGCAAACAAAGCTAAGCTCAAGAAAACATGTTTTTATCCACAAAATACAATGCATGCACTGTGATGGAAATTATTGGATTATGTGCCTTTGTTCTTTTTATGCAATATACTTCTGCTTCTGATGACACTTGCATCTGTGTCTGTATAACTGTTTGGGTAGGTGAAGGGTAAATGGAAAATAATACTTATATTATCTATGTACTTGTACTTTAGCTCTGTTCTCTTTGCTCACAGATTGTTCGTTTCTCCCCTTGACACTACACACACATTCAGTTCCTAAACACACCTACACACACATATACTTCATACATACACACAGCCTGACTGTCTGTACCCAGACACATATCTGAAAGATACTCACATATCCAAGACACTTCTCTGATTGGTTCCAACTAAGGGGGTGATATCTGGCTGGTGTTATACAAAAGCCATACGGTTACTCTTGTTCTGGGCCACTCGCTCTGCAGACTGCATGACATTCTGTATGACTGACTGAACTTTCTTGCAAGAAATAAAATACATAAAGGCAACTTGGTTGTTCGCTCTTTATTTCTCCAGACTTGTGTTAAAATTTCCATCACAGCACAATAGAAAATGTCTTTAATATTTCTTTTTGCAGCCACTACAAGTAGAGGTTTTCAATAATTTCCAATAGTTTTGATAATGAACATAAGGACAGAGTGCAGAACAAGATAACAGGAACTGAATTGTTAATGTATGCTACACACACAGAGCAGACTCACTTTACCTCAGATCACCTGCTGCTGCATATCTGGTGGTTAAAGTGCAGGTGTGCATTGTTGCAGATACAGTGCCTTGCGAAAGTATTCGGCCCCCTTGAACTTTGCAACCTTTTGCCACATTTCAGGCTTCAAACATAAAGATATAAAACTGTAATTTTTTGTGAAGAATCAACAACAAGTGGGACACAATCATGAAGTGGAACAAAATTTATTGGATATTTCAAACTTTTTTAACAAATAAAAAACTGAAAAATTGGGCGTGCAAAATTATTCAGCCCCCTTAAGTTAATACTTTGTAGCGCCACCTTTTGCTGCGATTACAGCTGTAAGTCACTTGGGGTATGTCTCTATCAGTTTTGCACATCGAGAGACTGAAATTTTTGCCCATTCCGCCTTGCAAAACAGCTCGAGCTCAGTGAGGTTGGATGGAGAGCATTTGTGAACAGCAGTTTTCAGTTCTTTCCACAGATTCTCGATTGGATTCAGGTCTGGACTTTGACTTGGCCATTCTAACACCTGGATATGTTTATTTGTGAACCATTCCATTGTAGATTTGGCTTTATGTTTTGGATCATTGTCTTGTTGGAAGACAAATCTCCGCCCCAGTCTCAGGTCTTTTGCAGACTCCATCAAGTTTCCTTCCAGAATGGTCCTGTATTTGGCTCCATCCATCTTCCCATCAAGTTTAACCATCTTCCCTGTCCCTGCTGAAGAAAAGCAGGCCCAAACCAGGATGCTGCCACCACCATGTTTGACAGTGGGGATGGTGTGTTCAGGGTGATGAGCTGTGTTGCTTTTACGCCAAACATAACGTTTTGCATTGTTGCCAAAAAGTTCGATTTTGGTTTCATCTGACCAGAGCACCTTCTTCCACATGTTTGGTGTGTCTCCCAGGTGGCTTGTGGCAAACTTTAAACAACACTTTTTATGGATATCTTTAAGAAATGGCTTTCTTCTTGCCACTCTTCCATAAAGGCCAGATTTGTGCAGTATACGACTGATTGTTGTCCTATGGACAGAGTCTCCCACCTCAGCTGTAGATCTCTGCAGTTCATCCAGAGTGATCATGGGCCTCTTGGCTGCATCTCTGATCAGTCTTCTCCTTGTATGAGCTGAAAGTTTAGAGGGACGGCCAGGTCTTGGTAGATTTGCAGTGGTCTGATACTCCTTCCATTTCAATATTATCACTTGCACAGTGCTCCTTGGGATGTTTAAAGCTTGGGAAATCTTTTTGTATCCAAATCCGGCTTTAAACTTCTCCACAACAGTATCTCGGACCTGCCTGGTGTGTTCCTTGTTCTTCATGATGCTCTCTGCGCTTTAAACAGACCTCTGAGACTATCACAGTGCAGGTGCATTTATACGGAGACTTGATTACACACAGGTGGATTCTATTTATCATCATTAGTCATTTAGGTCAACATTGGATCATTCAGAGATCCTCACTGAACTTCTGGAGAGAGTTTGCTGCACTGAAAGTAAAGGGGCTGAATAATTTTGCACGCCCAATTATTCAGTTTTTTATTTGTTAAAAAAGTTTGAAATATCCAATAAATTTCGTTCCACTTCATGATTGTGTCCCACTTGTTGTTGATTCTTCACAAAAAATTACAGTTTTATATCTTTATGTTTGAAGCCTGAAATGTGGCAAAAGGTCGCAAAGTTCAAGGGGGCCGAATACTTTCGCAAGGCACTGTAAAAATTACTGCAGGTAGTGCAATGTAGGCCTAACTTCACAAAGGTTTATTCAGCTACTGTACAATGCTGACAAAATACTAAAGTACAGCTAAAGCTTATATATGTAAGGCTCCTGACAAAGGATCTCCCAGTTCTCCCAGGTCATTTTTCACAGAAACACCTTTTTATATTACAGTCCACACCAACAACACAGTAGTTTTGGAAAATAACTAAGTACATTTACTACTTGAGCTTCATGACCTTAGACTGTGAAAGAAAGCAAGAGCACCTGGTAGAAATCAGTATTAACTCCACAGAGACATCTGACTGCAGAACAATTTTCCACGAGGTGACAGGTGCCATCTAGCACAAGGTAATACAATTTATTTAACCTCTTGCACAATAAAATAAACATAACCTAATAAACAGAAATGTGTGTGGAGAATCCCTGTGTTGGAGAATCCCATGTCATCAGTCTGGTGACATTCTCCACTCCTGCTCCTACTGCTGTACAGTTCTTCTTTACCACAGTTTCTACATTTTTAGGTGAATCATAACAAATAAACTAACGGGCACTTTTGCAGTAGTAGCTAAGCTTGCAGTAGTACTTACTCTGCGCACTGATGGGACCTCCACTTGCTTTTTGCTGAGGTCCCACCACAACAAACCCTCTTTAATATGATTCCTCTTTGTTGGCCCTGTGTGTAGAGAGAAACAACAGTTTGGGTTTAGATTTGTCCCATTTTCAGGTTAACATAATACAATTTCATCATCACTAATGAGTCCAAAATGTGTTTAATCATGTTTCTCTGACAAAACAAAAATGGAGCTTATCCAACTTTTAATGCACAGTAACTGTGTTGGGTCAGTGTTAACTCAGTGTAGTTTATTGGCTGAAATTTAAACAGCAGTACTGAATAAAACCTGATTGTGATTCAGCAGTTTTCACTACAACCAAACACAACAGTAGCTCATGTCACTGATTAGTGTGTCTTTATCCTCTTACCTGTTGCATAGCTCACTATCAGCCCAACTAGTACAACTGAACTAGTCGCCATGGCACCGAAATAGAGGTAGGACATGGCGTAGAGGTTATGTAGGCCCCTGGTTTTGGAGAAGACAAGATACAACAACAACTCGCATTTTTATTGTTTTCATATTTTTAGAACTCATATTTTTAAGTTCATCTGTCATTCTATCAGTTCAAAAAATTCCTTGAAGTGTTCTTTTCAAAGAAGTTAAGTTCTATTTTCGTGTTAAGATGTCAACGATGTTCACAACTCTACTGTATCATCACTAGTTTCTTTCATTTTTTGTATCTCAGCACAATTTTTTTTAAATAACATTACTTTTCTCAGACAACTCAAATATAACATGCAAAACTAAACAAAGTTACACTTGACAATGCGAGCTGGGCAAGAGTCAAGTCATTAAACCTAGTTGAACTCACTGACCCCTGGTCATCAGGGTGAAGCAGGGTGGAGATGGAGTGCTGGTCCAGGCTAGGGCTGCTCTTCACAGTGATGTTGCTGGGTTCACACTGGTCTGCATAGCTGGGCAGGACACCCATGGTCTTCCCACTGGGTGGGTAAAGAGTTGAACCGACAGCCAGCCACATGGAGACACAGAAGCCCACTAATATTCCTGAGTATGCTCCCTGATAAACAGATAAAGAAAAAACATAATCATTTGATTGATAGACTACTGAATGGATTTGTCTGGAAGTCTTATTCATGGGAGAAGTTGTGTTTCTGAAGCAAAAGTATGCAGGCATTCCACAAAGTATCATACAATTGTAGACATTTTTAATAAATACCTGGATCAACAGCCACTCACCAACCGGTTTGTTGCTGGTACAAACATGCCCAAAATGAATACACCCAGGAGTGGACCGCTGACCACACCCATGACAGTGAAAGATGCCTGAGAAGAGCAGACAACAACACAAAACTGTGACCTTCAAAAGTCAATTCTATGCTGTGATTTAGTTTTTACAGTGGACTGTCAGTTTCAGAATTCATGTCATCTGGTAATATTTAGGTGTCATACCTGCAGAACTCCCCAGTCCAGGAAGGAGGACAGGACAGCTATGGTGACACAGCCAACACCATATAGGAATGCTTTAAGAAAAATAAAATAAAATAAATGTTGAGTCTATTATTTATCATTGAACAACACTGAGTCTATATATTATGAAATGTGACAAAGAGGTAGTAAAATATGATTTGTACTCTGAAAGTGACACTTGATGCCCCTGTAAATCAAGTCACAGGTTTCTGCCTTAAATCATGAATGTCTTGGATGTTAAACAAAAGCAGTTGTAAGAAAACATAAAACAGCACGTGCAGCTGATATTTTCAGTGAGACTTAACCTACACAGTCCTTTGGAAACAAGAATCAGCTTCCTCTGGGTCATGTGGGTCAGATGAGGTTGCAGCAGATCCGCCATCGTTACTGCAACCATGGTGTTGATACTTGTGGAGGTTGTGCTGTTACAAAGACATTTTGTCGAAAACTGTTTCAGCAAAAACTCAACATTAATCACCTTTATGAAGGAGGATTTATTCCACAACTATTGTATTAGTCTGTATTAGTTTTGACTAAGTGCACCTGATAATAGTTACTTGTAATGTTAGTGACAAACCTGTCACAAGTTTAAATTTGAGAAACCAAGATTCATCTACCTCAGAGTCCTGCTATACAGACAGGCGAGGAAAAAACCTGGGAACCCAGGGTGTTTTTTAAATATGTCCAGCACAAAGTATGGCATGTACTTCATCAGATGAGACACATGGGAAAAGTGAAAAAGTAAATATCTGTTAGGAAACTAAATTTGACTGAGGAAATATTGAAATAAATGTGAATATTCATTAAATTTTTTGTTCTTAACCATCATCATTATCATTACCAACCAATGAAATGTCACTTTTTAAAATCTTGTTTGCCTTCTTTAGCACATTACAGTATATAGTCCAGTCAAACACCATAACCTCACTATCACTTAAACTCTATACACAGTATCATGTTCTATATGTGGATCAATATCAGTTTTTTATGAAGTGTCATGAGTACCAGATCAGGGGCAGAAATTCTCCCAGATATCAGTGGATCACAGCTGACGTAGTAAGCGAACATGACAATGCCACAGGTTACTGCACTGCTCACAATGAGGCACAAACCGATTTGGTTCACAAACAGTGCCCTGCAATCAAAAGCAAACATGATCATGGTGACCCTCGGTGCAACATTTTAGCCAGTCATGTGTCTCAGTGAGCCAGCTCTGTCGTAGGTGGAGCTCGACCCCAATTGGCCTTAGGCAGAAGCAGATCTCGTTGAGCCTGAGTCAGAATGATTACTCCCTTGTACAGATGGAAAAGGAGGCTGACCTGTGCCCACCAGGATTAAAATGAGCTGATTCGTGCTAACAGAAAAACATCATAAAATGCCTCCACAATAAAACAGGCATGATAAAAATGCCCTCTAATGTGTTCACACAAAGTTTTGTAAAGGTTGCTTTAGTCATAACTAAATCAGGAAGTGCCTTAGAATGCCTTTATGCGTGACAGTGGAATGATCTGTCTTCTCAGGTGACTCCTCAGTGGAAGAAAATGTAACAGTGCCCTGTAAAGTGCCCCAACAAGCAGGAAGCCAAAGATAAAACACCTTTTAAATGAGGAAGATGAAATGCAGTGCCTTATCAGTTGCAATTGTAATTGGTTGAGCTGGAGGTTCTGTGTGGTTTCTAGTGACAAACAAATGGGAAAAGTGCTATTTGAAGTCCAACCTACAGTATCATCTGTTGAGGAGCCCCCCAATTAGAAAACATGTTTGGGTTGTAGTTGGTACAGCACAACTCACTATTTTGGTGTAATTTCAGCTCTGAAAGTCTTCTCAGTGATTTTCATTATGTATGGCTTCATTGGAAAGATATCAGAGCTGATCAAGTAGTTTGTTTGGTGCTGTGCTACACAGCTGGCTGCACTTGCGATAAGCCATACACCAAGCCTGAAAGTGTTTTGAAACCTATAGGTGACTTCACAGAAGCTACAGTGAGGTTCCTCTACAATCTGTCAACTCAATGTAAAGGAAGTCAGTTAAAGTTTTATGCGTAGCGGTTCGGGAAGTTGTTCGAATTTTGCCGCGATGTATTGATAGTTATAAAGCCCAGGGAATCTCCACACAATTCGTGGGTAGTGTTGGAGTTGTCAGAGTTCGTGAGTTATGTATTTCCAAAAAAGTGGAATAGCTTAAACCCCAACACCACTG